CAGCCTGGCCCAGGCCGAGCGGGCGCTCGGCCCTGGCCGGCCCGCAGCAGGGAGACCCCAGGCCCCGCCCGGGCCGTCCCGGAAGGCCGAGGGGCTTGGATCTGCTTTGGCTTTCAGGACACACTGGGAACTGAGCCGCACTGGCACCCGCCTCCCTGGGGGCAGAGGGGGGTGATGCCCGCACCACCTCCCAGCCCCCAGCTTTCTCTCCCAGTTCCCCCTGTTCATCCGATGCCTGCTTTATGAGCTCCTACTCCGTACCAGCCCCTGGGCCGCCCTGGCAGTGGAGGGGCGTGGGCCTTCTCCTTCTCAGGTCGCCCTCCTCCTAACAAGTGCGATCCCAGAGCAGCGAGGCTCCAGTTCTGCCTGAGGGGGGTTCTCCAGGAGGCTGGACACCTCCAGATTGCCTCACTAAGGGGGGGCTGAGGGGGTATAGATACAGAGTGTGAGAAAGATCTAACCTCTCTGATCTCTTTCCCTCACTAGGGGGGGGGGCCCTGCCCTCAAGACCTCAGGGGCCCTCACCTCCAAGCACCGTTACCTTGGGGGTGAAGGCCTTATCTCTGAATTTTGGGGTGCACAAGATGACGTGAGATTTCAGCTTTGAGGTGTGAATGGGATTGGCCAGCAGGGCGAGTGGCAGGGGAGGGACTTCCGAGCAGAAGGAGCAGGCAGCTGACCTCTGCGGTGTCCAGAGAGGACAGGAGCTTCTGGAGATGAGTGCTGTGGGACTCCGAAGCCAGCGGGGACTGGGCCGGGGTGGAGGAGAAGAAGCCAGAGGGAATGCTGGGGTCATCCTGAGGCCTGCCCTGCCTCCCGCACGCCCTTCTTCCTAGGGGGAGGGATGGGGTTCTGCCGCCTCCCTCCCTCACCTTCACCTGGCTGCCCAGAACCTTCAGGAGACCACAAGAATTTCCTCCGGAAAGTAACGCCTCGCCCTGGGTGTAGTGTCCGCAGTGGCCACACGGGGGCGCCGGGCCTGGCCAGGGACAAGGTCCCGCCTTGAATTCTAAAATCTGGCCGGCAGTGCCCAGGGGTGACAGGTCGCGTTGGTATTGTTTGTATGGTATTTCGCACCTGACGGGGGTCCTCGCGTCTGCCCGCTCACTGAGTCTCCAGGAGGTCCAGGCCTTCGCCTGTGGCAGGGCTGGCCTTTAAACTGCCGGGAAGGGCGTTGTTTATCTGGCTGTCAAGGTTCTCGGCAGGCGAGAGGTGCAGCCGGCTGGGGGAGCCCCACTCCTGGGAAAAGGACAGGGAAGCAGGTCTGGAAGGGGGGCGGGTCCCTTTTGGGGGGAACCAACGTGGCGAGGTTGAAGGCAGGCATGTTATCTCCCCCTCGCTCCCCTGCCGCCCCCAGGGAGCCTGAGTCCTGGGGTGCTCCCTGGGGCTCACTATGGGGGGTTGGCCCCCCCCCCCAGTCACCGCGCAGACCGGTTGGGCTGGAGCTGGGCTGCTCGCACTGGGGCTGTGGGCCTTTTCGACACAGATCAGTCTTTTGGGGCGGGGGCTGCGCGGAATATTTTGGGGTGTTTAGAGCACCTCTAGCCCCAGATGCCAGACCCTGCCACCTGTGACGAGCCTGCCAGGTCTTCGCCAGCATGGCCCCGCCAGTTTTCACAGATGACACCTCCTCAACTCCCCGCGTGCCCCACCGGCCTGTCCACTCGGGGAACTGCTTCCAAAGTGGCCAGTCTGCTCCCTTGAAAAAGGACAGATGCAGCCATGTCCTGGCAGTGAGGAAAGTGGAGTCAGGGCGGGAGAGACTCCATCTTGAGTGAAGCGTATGCGCCGCCCTGTATATCAGTATGTGTCAGGGTGAGGGGACATGAGGGCAGGGGAGAAAAAGGGCGCCGTCCCCTCGAAGCCAGGGCCAGGCCGCTGTCGGCGGGGTAGAGCAGCATTATGCAGAAGGAGAGAGGAAATCAATAGAGCTGTCAGGCTTAATGCGGCCAGCGGCCCGGTCCACTCAGGAGCTCCAGACAGATTCTTCAAATTACAACCAGGAGCGGGGAGAGGGCCCAGGCGCTGGGAGACAAACACCCTGACAGGCCCGAGCAGAAGAAGGGACCGGCGGCTGGGGATGTGGGAAATTAAAGTCCATACATCACGAGCTCGGCGAGCTCCCCGGTGGGGGCGACAGGAGCCCCTGTCGTCACGCCAGCCCTGGGGTCCTGGGTCTTTGGACCCTCTGCCAGGTGGGGGTCCCCAGGAAGGAGGGGGCGTGTGGGCAGGCCTCTCGTGTGGATGGTGTGAGTGTCCGACGGGCTGAAGGGGGCAGGGGGCCGGGAGCAGGTTGACATGAGGGATGGCCTTGACCTCTTCC